CCCAAAGCATTCTGCCTCGCTGAGCTTCTTGTTTATAAATATAGATGAAGTCTGAGTGGTCCCGCCAGCACTGGGATTCCAGCACTTCCTCCCTTGGGAGCTCCTGTTCCCTTCGACATTCCCCTGCAATGCTGGTATACGGAGTCCTAAGACTTCCCCACGGAGGTCAGTGAGGGAGCTAAGAATCTGATCATCTTTCAAAAGAGAGTTGCTCTACATTCCCTTAAAGGTATATGAGAGAATTTATGCTGCTGAAATATAGGCAACGGTGAAGAATTGGGATTTAACCACACCGGGAGCAGAAGGCTCTCAATGGTTTTTAACAGAAGCTTCACAAGAGGGAAACAGAGAATGCCCCAGGAACAGAATGGTGAGAGAGGAGGAGGCTGGCAGAAGCTATTTTAGGAGGCCCCAGGTGTGTCCACGAGAGACTGAAAAGGACCTGTATTAGTCTGTTCTCACTCTGCTAATAAAGACATACCCAAGGCGGAGGCATTTATAAAGAAAAAACGTTTAAGTGACTCACAGTTCCACACAGCTGGGGAAGGGCCCACAATCACGGCAGAAGGTGAAGGATGAGCAAAGTCATGTCTTACTTGGCAGCAGGCAAGACAGCTTGTGTAGGGGAACTCCCATTTATAAAACCATAAGATCTCTTGAGACTTACTCACTACCACAAGAAAAATATGGGGAACCGCCATCATGATTCAATTATCTCCACCTGGCGCCACCCTTGACATGTGGGGATTGTTATAATTCAAGGTGAGATTTGGGTGGGGACACAGCCAAACCATATCAGGACCCGAACTGAGGACAGGGAACCAGGTCCTACTCACTGGTGAATTCATCTCCCAGGAAAGGCAAACTGTTCTTCCTTCAAAGTCATGTCCAGTTTCCAACGTGCAACCAAATGAGAAGACGAGGTATTGAATGCATTTTCAACTGAAAAAGCCACGGAGATGGTGCTTTTTCTTATGACTTCCATCACACATCCTGCCCCTGGCATTTCCAAAAGCCATTGCATTTGGACTGCTTTCCCTCCTAAGCCTGTGTTAGCCTTGCCTTCTGAGCTTCCCACAATACACATATTGTATCGTGTATTGTGGACAATACACAGGTGCATTTGCTTGTATTTGCAAGACAGAAGCTCAGTTTGTTGGAACTTTCTTTCCTCGGTCCCTCTTCATCATCTGCATCTCCTAAAAAACCTCATTTTTGTGTCTTTGAAAACTCAAACCACTGAGCACAGTTGAATTTTTGTCCTCTTCATCCTGTGTGGATTCCAAGAGACTCGTTTTTCAGGACTTTGTGTGCCAGGCGGAATCAGCAAACAGAATCTCCAGAGTTTTCTCTCCTGAGTGTGAATGATGTTACCGAATCAGCCATTTCTCATCCATTGCCCTTACCATTGATCAATAATGTATATACAGCCAGTTTCACCTCATTCCTGGACTTATTTTGGAAGCATCATTTGCTCATTGAAGCAACATTTGTTGAGCACTGACTGTGCTCAGCCACTATGCACAGTGTTTCTGAAAATGCGGTACTTTCATATCCCTTACCCTCCTCTGCCTGGAAGGCCAGCCCCTCCCCCAACAGCCCCGCTGAAAACTATTCAGCCTTCAACACTCAATTCAGAGGGTTCACTTTGCACAGGGAGCCTCCCCAGGCCCTGCCTTCCCTCCAGGTGCAGCCATTCATTCCTCCTCTGTGATCCTATAGGGCCCCACAAACCCTCTCATAGGAGGGTAATTGTCTACACTGTAGTGTGTACACCCCCACCACACCCTGAGCCCCAGGGGGGAGAGGTTCTAGGAGGCTTTGCATCTCTATCATTCTCAGTTGCCATGGGTTTCTGCAGAGTAGGTATCCAATGAAGAGCCTACGGCACCCAAGACAGCTGTGTTTTAGCTGCTGCCTATGCATTCATACTTGGCTTTAGGTGAAAGGGAATCTCTTCCAGAAGGTTGAGTAGACTTCACCAGCACTTACCTCTGTAGCTTTCAGTGTCAATTTAGCTCTTGGATTAATTCTATTTCAGATTGTGGAAATGTTAATTTCCAAGGTGATCGTTTCCTATGAAGTACTTTGCTGCCATGGAAACATAGCTTAGAAAGGTCCCCATGCTGTGGTCACCCCCTAATTCCAAGCAAGATGGCCCCTACCGCAGCCTAACACCCTTTCTGCAGGGAGTCTCCTCTGGGCACTGTTGGCCCATCCTTGCCCTTCACGTGGCTTTGGGTGTCATTTACTGAACTCTGCCTGGGTGTGTTCCTGTGGGCTGTGGGGCTGGGCCAGGCCCCATAGTCTGCTCATTGTTTGTTATAGGGCAGGACTCTTAATGATTCTGAGCCTTAATTTTATTGCCTATAAAGTGAAGAATTGTGACAATAATAGTTTACGTCCCAGGGTGGTTTTGATAGTTAGTTTCTCCTGGGAACAAAATGTTGATCCAGGAAGTGCAGTGTTTGTCCTGCGATGGGCACCGTCTCCCACCTGACGCTGGTCCCCTGGAAGGTCCTTGTGTATGCGATTATCTGAAGGTGGAGATGAGCCATGTTTTGCCTGTAGTCTCTGACATCATCTGAGATCGTATGAGTGCGCCTGAGAGCAACAATGTCCCCCTCAGGATTTCCTGAGCTCATTTTTCTCATTCATCTTGCTGGCTTGAAAATAGACAGGACTGGGATTTTCTCCTGGGATGCCATCTTCAGATACAGGATTTAAACCATCCCAGGAACAGAAAGGAAACCACTCGGCATGGCTGAGAGAGTCTCTGCGTGCCAGTCAGGATAAACCGGGAAGGGAAGAGGCCCAGGGGAGCCATGTGTGGTGGGATGAACACTGGGTCCCTGTAGGGCAGACTTGGGTTCCCAGCTTCACCCACCACTTATCCTTGGTGTCACTTGAGGCAAATGGGCCTCTCCAAGCCCCAGTGATATGCAGATAAGACTCGCAGCTTTGTGAGCATGAAACACAACCCAGGGAAAGCAGTGAGCAAGTGCCTGGCTCAGACGAGGTTCTCAATTCAAAATAGGGATTTCTTCCAACTACAGTTGAGGCTTTTGCTTCTAGACTGTCTACACTTCCAGTTCAAGTGTTAAGGCTTTTTTGTAGCTGAACCATCCCAAGTGACTGGTTTGGCTGTGTCCCCACCCAAATCTCAACTTGAATTGTAGATCTCTTCTCATATGTTGTGAGAGGGAACCAAGGGAAGGTAATTGAATCGTTGGGGCCGGTCTTTCCCACGCTATTCTTGTGAGAGTGAGTAAGTCTCACGAGAGCTGCTGGTTTTATCAGGGCTTTCTGCTTTTGCTTCTTCCTCATTTTTCTCTTGCCACTGCCATGTAAGAAGTGCCTTTCACCTCCCACATGACTCTGAGGCCTCCCCCACCATGTGGAACTGTAAGTCCAATTAAGCCTCTTTTTCTTCCCAGTCTCAGATGTCTTTTTTTTTTTTTTTTTTTTTGAGACGGAGTCTCGCTCTGTCACCGGGGCTGGAGTACAGTGGCGCGATCTCAGCTCACTGCAAGCTCCGCCTCCCGGGTTCACGCCATTCTCCTGCCTCAGCCTCCCGAGTAGCTGGGACTACAGGCGCCCGCCACCTCGCCCGGCTAGCTTTTTGTATTTTTTAGTAGAGACGGGGTTTCACGGTGTTCGCCAGGATGGTCTCGATCTCCTGACCTCGTGATCCGCCCGTCTCGGCCTCCCAAAGTGCTGGGATTACAGGCTTGAGCCACCGCGCCCGGCCTCAGATGTCTTAATGAGCAGCATGAAAACGGACTAATATGCTCCCCAAACTACAAATACACACATTCATACACACAGTCACATGCATAGACACATACACACACTCACACATGTACTTCACACAGGCTCTTGCACACACACACCCCGGCAGCAGAAGTTCAATTCCTTTACCTGACAAGCATTCAGTAAGTCACTACTATGTGTCCAATAACAGCAGGGGCTGAGGAGGCATATGTGAAAACCTGTTTACAATGTGAATTCCCTAAATCCCTAGATAAAATGAACATGGAGTCCAACCGTCAGAAGCGTTTGAAAAGTAATTCCTTTTGCATTTTGGGCTTTTCATAAAAGTTGTGATAAGCTGAGAAATTCTGAGGAGTGAGAAAAGACTACCCCTTGTTGGATCTTTCTTATGCAGTAAAAAACACATCACATGTATTCACATTCTGAATGAATTTTGTAAGTTGGTGAGAGAAAATAAGAATAAATAAAAATATATTTTAAAAAGACCCAGACAGTTACCCAGGAGAACAAGTGAATGACTTTTGATACTGCAAATTCACATTTTCCAATATGAAAATATTGACTCCATTTTTCTTTGCATTAACCACAGGCTGCGGCACAACCACTTCCTTGCACCCCTGGGTAGCATGAGCCATGACGTGAGCTGTTCATTTCTCAGGTCCTACAAGGAAAACAGGAGGGAAGAGGGTCCTTCTGTGCTTGAAGCAGGAGTGCTGAGTGGGTATCCTTGTTGGGAGCCTCATCCACATTCACAGTGGAACCGCATGAGCAACTTAATATGTCACCAAAATGTACTCTATGTTTTACTTGGTATTTCCTCATTTATGCTCAGAAAAATCCTGTGTGGGACTTTTTATCCCAGTGTTCAGACAGGAAACAGGTGCTCCCAGCCTGAGTCACATGTACGGGGAGTCACCCCCCTGCGATGTGGCTCCAGCCTTCCCTGGTATAGCAGCCACTGCAGCTCTCTTCATCCTGCTGCTCTGTGCCCCATTCGATGTTGGCTTCATCCAAAAATGCAAATCCTGGGTGACTTTAGCTACAGAAGAGCGAGTAACAAACACCAGGTCGTGGGCAGCAATTGCTGTTTATAAATGGCTGAGCTGCTCACTGGTATAGACAGAGATGAGCTGAGCTGAGTAGTGGACACTGTCTTGTGGTCGAGCCACATTAGCCGTTATATTCTCTCATGTGCCTCCTGCAAACAAGGTCAAGTTTAGAATAACCTTCCAGACAAGCACACGCTATCGAAGTCAGTGCCATTCCCACCCTCTACGCCCCGTAATTTGGGTTCCTCTAAGAGTCTTTCTTTAACGTTGATAAGACGCTTTGCTGGCAAATTTCTTTCTCGATTTTTAGAAACAAATGTATGTACCTATGGAGACAGACAAATATGGATTTATTTTGCTTAAAAGTCATTGTTTTGTGGCAGTGTTTTCTGGGGGGCAATTCCTACACCCAGGTCCGCTGGAAGAACTGAGGTGCAACCCAGCGTAGGGAAGGACTGCTTCTGGACCGCACCCGGAGGCAGCACCACCAGCAACGGAGCCCCGCCACCTGCTGTACCCGTCCGCCTTCTCTGGTTGACCTCCCCGGGGCCAGACGGCCCAGGCAGAGTCCGTGCTCCCTCCTATGGAAGTGAGTTGTGTTTCCCACAAAAAATGTTGAAGTTCTAACCCCCGGAACCTGTGAATATGACCTTATTTGTAAATAGGGTCTTTGCAGATGATCGCGTGAAGATGAGGTCATCAGGGTAGGCTCTAATCCAGTATGACCTTGCCCTTAGATGAAGGAGCCGTGCCCACAGGTGTGCACACAGGGAGAACGCTGTGGGAACCTGTAGGCAGAGACTGGGGGTGCATCTACTAGCCAACGAACAGCCAGGATTGCCAGCAGTACCGGGAGGTTGCAGAGCAACACAGGCATCCTCCTTACCGCTCTCAGGAGAATCCAGCCCTGTAGATACCTGAACCTTCAGTTTCCAACCTCCAGACCTGGGAGACAGTAAAGCTCTGTTGTAACCCCCGGTGTGTGGTCCTTTGTGAGAGCAGCCCTAGGCCCCAACTCACTCCTACCGTACAGCTTTTACAATGAAGGTCCGGTTCTTCAGTTCCACACACTATGCCCCGAACAGGTCAAACATTTGAGTGACTCTCCAACCCCGACATGCCAGTCGGACCAAACTCTGTGCGCTTGTTGAACTGGGCCCTTCCTTTGAACACACTTCTCAGTTCTGCTTGGCTAGTTCCTACTTGTCTGCAAGATCGAGCTCATACACGGCGTCCTCTGGACAGCTTTCCCTGACTTTCAGGCCTGGCTGAAGGGCTGCGCTGTGTGTGTCCACAGCCTGCTGAGCATGCATCTACCACTGAATTTATTACACCTTCTTATGATAATTGATTGACTTCTCTGTCAGCCCCTGGAGACTAAGAGCTCCTTGAGGGCAAATATATTGAGTCTTCAGTGCCCACTATGAATGACCAGTTAACAAAATCCACTCCCTTAATGTGTACCTGTAGATACAAGGAATGGATTTAAAATTTAAACACAGGACAAGGAACCAACTGCCTATCCCAGTCTTTAGCATATGAAGGCATGAGGTATAGATTCTCCTACAAGCTGGAGGGAGAGGAATGAAAATCAAGGTGAACTACCACATCTTCAGCTTATTACTTTTTCTCCAACGAAATGAGAAGGATCCATATTTATTCTACTTTTTCCCCCGAGCAGGAAAAGGATGCCTCCTGATTTTCATGATGCATCCCATAGAAAGTGACAGGTCTGTAAGGCACTTGTCTCTGTGGACGGAGGCAGAGCGCCCTAAGTGGGGATGAGATGCTCCTGATGCTGCAGTACCGGTTTAGCACCACAAGAGGGAGCCAAGAATGGCTGGACGGGTTGATTCACCCAATAAACCAAGTGATTTTGGCATCCAAGAGTTGAGAACATTCCTAAAACAGAAAATCTCAGAATACAAGAGCTGTTTTCCCAGTGATAGAAGATCCCTCCCCTGCCTCACCCTTTCTCCCTCCACCCCCAGTTCCCATATTGAATATTTTCAATCTTCAATAGGTTAAATATTGAAGATTGAAGATAGAATATTTTTCCATCTTCAGGCCAGTAGTCAAATAAGCATCTACAAAAGACGGAGCCACGCGGGGTTTACAAAAATCACCTGTATTCCAGCCAAAAGAGCTTTAAAAAGGAATCCCTGCTAAAGGGGGATGGGGGGACAAACTACGTTAAGACACAATACATTTAAAATATGTATTGAAATTACAAATCAAACTTTTTCCATATAATTCCAGAGTACAAAACACAACATTAAAAGGCATTCAAACAGCTCTTTTATACATCACAGTGTTAGTGGCACAAAATGAACTGACATTTCAAAAACACAAACCAAATCTGTTTTGATTTTGTTTTACCACCACTTGTCAAATACATAACGTATACATGTGCATGACTCATTCATGCATATTTTTACACAAGATTAAAATACACCCATAGTAAAGTGAGCAAGGAAGGAAAGAAAGGGCAGGCATGGGGCATGTAGCTACCCCTCACTGAAGGCTCCGGAATTGTGGAAGACAGAATTGCACAAATCAAAGGAAGGGCGAAGACCCTGGGTTTTTTAAACATCAAGACGGCATGCTCTCCTAGTTGTGAAGCATTAGCAAATAGATTTTAATGCAGGCCCCTTTGTTCCTTTTGGTGTTTTTGGTAATGCCGGTCATAATCCCTTCATTTTGTTTATTTTCATAAGGGCTTAGGTTAATTATCAGAAATAAACAAGCTTTGGTATTTTTTAAAGAGAACTTCATGAAGCTTTACACATGCAAAATGTTTTCCCTTGATGATCTCTTTGTGAATTATATATATACACAGGTGTGCTCACTAATAAATGAGAATCGGAGACACACACACAAAGCCCATCCTGGATCCTTTCAATCCCCTAATTTTTAAACACTACCAAGAAAAAATTTTCTCTTCTAAATTTGTAAAATGACTTCTAACTTCTGCAATATTAAATGAAAACAACAAACTCATCTTGAAGTAATTTTTGCACCTCTGATAGTCCCTTCCATGGGCCCTGTGTTCTAATCAGGAACTGGCATGCGTCCTAAACTGGTTTTATGGCATAATATGTCGTCAAGATCATTTGTTCCCCTTTAAGAAAATAGGCCATGTGCGGTGGCTCAGGTCTGTAATCTCAGCACTTTGGGAGGCCGAGGTGGGCGGATCACTTGAGGTCAGGAGTTTGAGACTAGCCTGGCCAACATGGTGAAACGACGTCTTTACTGAAAATACAAAAATTAGCTGGGTGAGGTGGCGGGCACCTGTAATCCCATCTACTCGGGAGGCTGAGGCAGAATCGCTTGAACCTGGGAGGTGGAGGTTGCAGTGAGCCGAGATCGTGCCATTGTACTCCAGCCTGGGGGATAAGAGCAAAACTCCATCTAAAAAAAAAAAGAAAGAAAAGGAAAGAAAGAAAGAAAAGGCCAGAGGTGGCAGATGTTGGTTCCTCTGTCCACAGCTACTCCTGTGAGTTGAGGAGGAAGAACTAATTTGGACAGTTATTCCTGCAATCCAGTGCTTCATCTCAGATCCTAATCAGTCTCTGCTATGTGGATATCTATGGTGACAGCATCTTTGCAAGGTGCTGGCCTCCTGTGAGGGTGCAAACTCATCTGGCTGGGCTATGGACCACACAGCAGAGCCAGACCAAGAGATCAGGCATGTCCAGCAAAAGCTCCAAATGTGGTCAGTAACTCAAGGGCCTCAGATAAGCCACAGGTTCACTGGGCTATGGCCAGTCCTCACTGGCCACGCCACCTGGGCGGCAGTACAGCAGCCGTGGTTGTCTAAGGGCCTTCGCCCCTCACTCCCCAGGATTCAAGGCCTCTTAGTGAACACATGCCATGTGCTTCCAGGGCTTTGCAGTGAACACCGTCTGTAAGAGTGAATGCCATTTTTCAATTGAGACAAATTATGCCGCTTCATAGGAATAAGTCCATCCACTCAACGCAGACTCCCCAGGTGTTACTGGGGGGTGATGGCAAGACCAAAGTCCAAACCCAGGGCCATCTGCCCGTGTGCTATTTACATTTTACATCAAGCAGGGTTAATACTGTATTCCCAGCAAAGATGAGTCTGGCATTCCTTACTAAAACAGAAGGAAATGCGAGTTCATGTATCTCAGAGTGGTCTTGCTGGTATCTATATAGGAAATGGACAATTTTAATTTTGTCACTAGATCAAAATGAGCAAACTGAGGCCTGCTTCATACAAAAAGTCAGAGCCAGTAGGTGCTAATGCGGCCGCCCCTGGCCGGCCCCAGAATCTCTGTGGTCCCATCTGGGTTGAACGACGTGCTCGTAAAACACATCAGAGGTGAAGGCACGAGGATGGCTGGGCTACACATGTGCGCGACTGGGCCAGAGACTCCTCCAAGAGAACAGCCTGTCCCTCTAGAAATAAGGTCATCTGCGCTCTAGCCCTGGGGATGCAGACTTTCCAAAGGCTCTGACTCTCATCCCAAGGATGGGGGTGCTACTGTGTGGGCTCATGCGATGGGCAGCAGCAATTTCACGCAAGAAGGACAAGCATATGGTGGACACTGGGCCACAGGCCTCCCATGTGTGCTGGGCAGTTTAAAGGGCAGTGACTGGACAGCTGCATCCACGTATCACAGGCTGAGGGCTCAAGCCCAGCCAATGACTCCTGCATGGAGTTGCCACCCACCTCCAGAAAAGCTATTCTACCAGTAGACACCATCACAGCACCACAAACTACAGAGAGCCACAGCCCAGGTTTCATCCAGAAAGGGAGTCACAGGCATGTTCTTATTGAGTCACTAAACTTATAAATCGCAATTACAAGGAGAGCGTTTTGAATGTAATTTTGACACACAGGGATTTTCTAAATGGCTTCAGTGTCATAAGGAAAATCAACATGAGAGGTGAAGAGTGATGTGATGCTATTTCTTCTAGCGAATTCATTGTTAGGAAATAAGAAATAAATCTCCAACCAGGGAAGGTAAACTAGGACCTGAGACTGATACCCAGATGCAGAAGTCACACACACACAAAGCAGCATTTTTAAAACGTGCTTGTGATGAGCAAATAACTGAGATCAAAGGATTTTGTTTTTGTTTTACTTCTTTATAGAATGTTTAACAAGATGTTTTAAATCCCACTGTAATATATCTATAATATTTGCCTGTTATTTTTAGAAGGTTTCAGTTCAATGCAGTTTGCTTTGTAAAAGCACCTGTGGCTTTTAGAAGTAAATTCTCTTTAAAGAATACACTTTCTCCACTTTTCAAAGTCAGCCGGTGGAGTCATGTGTGTGAAATGTATAACTTGGAGTAATGGTGGAGGAACGTATAACTTCTTCTCCTTATCAATCCCTGCATCCTGCTGCCATGGAAACGGTCACAGACAGCCCTGTGAAAGATCAAGTGGTAAAATCCCCACAGTAAAACTAAGTGAAATGGGAGGTTCTTTTCCCCAACAAGAGCAAAACGGTTAGCAACAGGACTTGGAACCGTCTAAGATATATGATTTCTCAAAATGACTAGAGCATTTTAACAACGTGAAGATCTGGCAGGCTCTTCCTTAGCCCCCAGAGTTCTCCAGCCTCTGCCAAGAGGCCCTACCTCTGCGGATCACTAAGGCTGCTTTCTTCTCACTGTCTACCTGAAGACTTAGGCCACAGGCCAGACAGCAACAATATGGAGGAGAGCCATTTCCGAGCAAAGCGGTTGGACTGAATACAATAAAAGGCGTTTTCTGCTACCTGGGAGAGAAGGGATGAGACCCTTGAGCTGAGCTGAATCACCAAAGAGAGAAAACAACAAAAGGCAAATCTAGTGGAGATGAGATGTTCCTCTAAACATGTCAATATT